TATTGGTAATTTTACAGTAGCAAATAAAGTATAGACACAAGTTGCATATGGCATAATAAAGCTAGTCGAGGTAAGTTTCATGGAGGAAACAAAAGATTGATAATTTAACCCAGTAGTAAGCATCTGGTACTAATGACAATCTCTTGAATACCAGCTTGCAACAGTATGTGACACCTATCCATTATGTCAGTAGTACCAACTCTGGGTGTTGGGGTTACTTTACATCTCCCTGAACAGCAGAGAACATATAAGTTAATTCCTATCATCAGTCTCACTTAAGAAATAAAAATTGAAGGATCACAACATTTCTGGCAAAGTGAAATGCTAGTCAAACTGGTTTGAAGACATTTTAACCTGAAATTCACTTTTAAATACAACAGAAATTTACTGTAGTTAACACTCTAAAGAAACAAGGAGTTCCAGCTCCAAGTCAGTAATTATCCATTTGTTGTATCATTCCTCTCATATTTTAAGAACCAGAGAAAGTTAGATAATTGTAATCTTTGAGTTTCATAGCACACTTCGACTCAAAATTCATTTCATTTGGAAGAAGTACTCTACTAAAATAAACAAGACCGAATGAAGCTGATGCCATTCGTTTTGAATAACACATAATTAACACAGTTTAAACTCATGAGACTAAGCCCACGCATTTGTTTGAGATGAATGAACTGATAAGACTGAAAGCTAAATAAATAAACAATGAATTGACGGTGTGAGTGATTTAGGGGCCATGTGGTAAATAGGTTCTACCAAAGTTTATCCTCTAGTTTAGCACTTCAAGCCCAAAAAGGCAATTAGAAAAATTCTCACAAAACACGGCAACAAAATAAGATAAAACCGGAGATGATTGAGACAAGACTATAACTGTTGTTAACCCTTAAATCCCCACAAGTGATTAACAGGTAACTTCTCTCTATAATATCTGTACACTATTCAGCAAATAGGTAATTAGAATACTCAAACCTGTCAGATAGATGTTACCTTGAGGTAACACCAAATTCTCGTAACATGTTTACAAGGAAATGTGTAACAGCTAGAGGGGAGAATTAACTTGGGAGTTAAAGGTTTAAGACACATGCCTACATAACATGTAAAACAGACTTAGAGAGTAAAAAGGCCAAAGACAGTTGTGAGCCATGACTTAGAAAATCTACCTCAACCTCCCAAAAACGAAGAAGGAAACACGCAATTTTGTTTCAAAGTTTAGGTAAACAAAGATCAAATTCTAAACTACATTATATTATCGTAACGAATATCTCACGACCTTCTACACATAAAACTTCGTGATTCACAGAAGTAAGACATCGACATCTTAAGACCAACCTTCGAGAGTTGTTGTCTCATGTGCACATCTTGATCGTCAGCAAATCAAATCTCCAACTTGAAGTTTTCGGCCTTTTTTCGCGTCTTGTTATCATTAGAAGAGCCAGAGTATCCACAGAGCATACACTTTCATCCCTCTTCAGAAAATATGACAAAAAAGGTGACGAACCCGCGGGAGCGCGCTGAAAGCACCAGAATGGCGCCGAACGGGCAAATTTCGGGAAAATCTTAATTTGAAAAGTCGTGCAACCTCACGGTGAAACATCCTACGTCAAATTTGTTTACGTTCTGACGTAATAACGGGTTGGTGTGTGTAACAAGCCAGAACGGGCAATGTAGAGGAGAACACATACAAAACCAAGATGTCGGACCAACAAGATATATTTAATATAAGTAAACCGATGTCGTCAGCGGACCACGCGGTCGTGACAGTGTCACGCAATATTGTTACAGTGTGTTCTTGAGGCATGACATTCACGCAATCCGTCCAGTTGCGCTGATTGCGAGGCATTCGATGTAAGGAAACTCCACCGCTCGCACTGGGCTTCCTTCATTTTCTTCGAGTACCCTCAAAATCACCACATATGCAGAATAGAGCAGTCATGTCGATGATTTTTCGCACTTGTTCCGTGTCGCTAGCTCAGCGAAGGCGTTACCCTTACTGCTCTGAAAATCAAAGTGATGATGTCGACATCGGTTCGTTTCTGCGATTACGGTATGCTGTGTGGGCCATTTAGGCTTCCTTTAGAGGCGTATGTAACATCATTTGTAGTAGAGTCTTTGAGGTAAGTTTCCCAAGAGTTATCCCGTGTTTTTTAAAGTCTCTGTCAGACGAAAGCTAAAAAAATTCACTTTTTTCACTACTGGCCTGGCACTCACGTGAGACAACGACAATTCCAGTTGGCTATCTGTGTTCTCTTTGGCTACATGTACACGTCGAATTTTACGAGGTAATTACATAATGAATGACAGAAAATCCAAAAATAGCTTTTCAGGAACTATAAGTACATGGCTCTCCAAAAATAAGTAAACGAGGACCGTGAAAAGCATGATGATCACAAAATAAATCAAACGCAGAAATTCTCGTGGATTTGTATTTCCATCTGGCGAAAGTAAGTTTTATAGTCGTCTTAATTTCATTTAATGAGATTTATTCTCAGCAGATTGCATGATTTATTCGAGCATGTATGAAATGAAATGTTGATCACAACTTCTGAAAGGAGCCACATCAGGAATTTTAAGTTGTCAAAAAAAGTCGTAAATTTGATAGAAACGTTCGAATAATATTTGGCAATGGTAAAGGAAAACCAATAAGGCAAAAAGAATACAAAAGGGAAACACGGACAGTTGAAGAGAAAAAAGATTGTCGTGGACTATCACAAATAACAAACTAAAACTTAATACTCACCATGAATGTGCTCCTCAAAAGATATAAAACTGCAGATTACTAAAACAGACTGTGCAACAGAATCCAGCGTTGTTCGATGCACTTGACACACATTACCAGAATGGGAAGATACCACCCTTGGAGACAACTTGTATTAATCAAAACTTTCTCGCTTGCGGCACTCAACAGATCCGAGTCTTCCACAGAGCTCGTTTGCAGAAAGTTATGACATGTCAGTTAGCAACAAGCATTCAAACGATTGGACTCAGCACTCTATAACTAGCAATAGCAGCTCCTCCTCACTTTAGAGCCTCCCCTGTTCACCGGCTCCAGATAGAAGCGGGTCGATGCAAGAGAATTCATAACCCAGGGGGTTGAGTCCGCGGTACAGAGATCCAATGCCAGTGAATTACCAACCTGTGACACCAATGACGGGCACTTCCCCAGCGCTAGTGGCTTCAGCCGAGGCGTTGACTCGTTTAACTTCCGGGGATGAAAAGCTGCTAAGTAACAAACATCAAACAAGCTTTTCAAGTTTTGAAGACTTTTCTGTAGGAAATGAGACTCAGAGAGCATCACCTTCACTTGCAGTCAGACCATCGGCGCCCATTGTGAGATAATTAGTTGTTACCACACCAAATTTTCCTACCACCACTTGGCAGTTCTCTTCTAGCACGATTTCAGAAAGTGTAGCCCTAGTTACTTCCATTTATGATGTGTTTAGCAGTCATGGACAAGAACACGTAGGGGACTTCAACAGGCACAGTACAGGCCCAATGGAGATACCCAAGCAAAGAGAGACAAAGAACAAAAGCAATCGCTGTTTTTTTAGTATGCAATTTGAGACCGGTTTTCGAGAAGATCAAACTTGATGTTCGTCTTAGTTTGAAGCCTTTCAAAGATTTTGATGGCTCCTTTGATCCTTCTTCAACAGCTCTGACCAAGCGCTCTCAAACGCTCTCGAACGGTACATGTGTTTTTCGCATTTTAGGTGCTAGTGTTTGAGACCGATTATGGCCAAGAAAAGGCCTATTGTTATTGTTGTGTTTAGTGTTTTGCTTTACTCAGCGTTGCTTTTGTAAGGACATTTCCTATGGACACTCAATTGTGTTGTAAATCTACCTTTGATACCTTCCAAAGTAAGAGCAAATTAATTAAGCGCGAGTGTTGTATGGTACATCTACTGCTATCTTGATCACTGAACGAAAGACAGTTGAATTAGAGAGATGAAAGGAGTCACTTGACCAATGAATAACTCTACAGTGCACATGGCGACACGCCAGGCAAGCGGCTTGGTTCTCCTGTGGCTACTTGCCGGCTTGCTTGTTCGGAAATTTCACTTTCAATTAACCGGCGAAAAAAAGCTAGAGAGGAGTCCTGGAAAAGGTCGGACATAGTACAGTTTGGCTGTGACAGCTTTTTTTTTTTGCAGAACACAAATTTTGTTAGCCATGTTGGACTTCAACCATGCAAACACTAGCCGACTAGCCTCTGAGTTGAGAGAAAAATGATCGAATGGAACTTCTTTCCTTACCACGGTATTCATGGCCTTTGTATTGGTCCAATGCCATTGCAGCACGCCCTTTCAACCAATTACAGCGCGCGTTATATCAGAACTTTATTACAAGATCTGAGAACAAAACACTTCCAAACGAACTCAATAACAAGCCAACATTAAAACGGAATATTTTCATGGACGATGTACTGAAAAATGGCGAATCCGTGAAATTCTCCACGGGATTTCCCGCTGTGGTCTGCCTACTGTCTTCCCATTATTACTTATACGCAAATAGCATTTTGTTTGGAAATGATTGAATAAATGTTATAGCTTCAGTAGAGCTTGGTACCGGATGCAGACGATCTATAAATATACGTTTCTATCCATTGCCTGCTTATCTAGTTTTTCGAAAATTGTGAATAACGACAGTGACTGCGGGAGACAAGCATTTCACCCTTATCATGTTAGGATATCTTGCAGTTATAATATAATGTGTTATGCGTAATAGGAATAATTAAACTCCCGATTCAGCCCAGAGGCATCTGAATGGATGTTTACAAAGCAGATTTTTCTTGTAAGCAAATTTACGACGATTTGACATACTACACCCACGCTTTCAACCTTCAATCCTTTGATCAACGTGTGAAAATCATTCGACTGCAAATGGTGGAACTTGATTCATGAGTGCACTGAATGTAGCCGGAAAACTATATCCATTCACTTTAATTTTTGCTACTCTGCTTTCTGTTTGCAGAACATTGGTTTCCTTAAGTTGCAAATACCTGTATTATGGAAAACGAAGCCAGCGGTTTGACAGACTCCTTCGTGGCCAGACACACTATAGACCCTATCTTACGCTCGGATCTGCTTTCTCGTAATCAAAATGGCTCACGCCCTGACCAAGGCACATGGATGGGGGCAGAGGTAAAAAAGACTGAATACATCATAGCTTATAGATGAGGAGAGGGACACTGATATTGCTATTCTGGAACTACGTAGCAGGTCTGCTGGGGTGGGAAGGGCGTTGTAAAAGTCATTCTCAATCACCAAAAGCCGAGATCGCAGCTTTTCTTGACTAAGACATAAAAACTGGAAAAATCTATGAGATAGAATGATCCGGCAAATTTGATCCCACAAGCTTGGTGAAAAAATTGATTTCCTGTATGACAAAAACCTTAGGGAATTGCAAAATAAACTCACGAAAATCGTTGTTTTTTTTCGCTGTTGCGACTGCCCCCTTGAGGTGCTTTGCGATATCTCTACAGGAAAAATTTTACCAATTTTCATTTACTTAAAACAAAAACAGCTCATAGATTTATGAAGCATAAAAACGAGCATTCCAAGCGGGAAAAATGGGTCTGTATCGCCCGCTCGAAGAGCTAGCCATACAATAAACATTTTTGAAAATAATCTTATTTTGTTTCATTTTTCCAGATTGCTGGGTCAAACAACATTGCTATCGACTCGTCTGCAGCTGGTTCGTATTCGAGGAACATAAGACCTTGCAATGTTGAGTCTTTAGAGTCCACGAACAACAGTCCTTTTGCGTTGGTGCAAGGAGTAGCCAGAGCAACGGTCCAAATGAACAGGGGAATGCGGTTTAGAGAACAGCGTGAATTGGAGCGGGAACAACTTCAAAGGGACCAGGAAAGAAGGGAAAGAGAGATTAGAATGAGGCAAAATAGAGAAGTGATAGAAAGGGAGAGAAGGGAAATGAGAAGATCTAGTGGATGGAGAGAATGGCAAGAGGCAATTCCTGGGCCTTGGTGCTCATGCCACCTTGAAGAGGTGACTAACATGTTTTTCTTTAGTTTCTTTCCTTCTAAATTGACCAGCAAGTTGTCTTTACTTGCACCTGCTCGGGGAAAGTCGAAATGACTCAAGCGACCAACGACGGCATTTGGAAAAAGAAAAAATTACAATCTGAAAAATGAGAAAGAAAGAACCCGTGAACAAATAAAACTTCTGTTGATCCCGTTTTCTAAACTCCAGTTACTGCAGTTTTGCCCGTTACCCATCATCACTTCTTTCCACACCCCTTTTGAAATTTCTTAGTTTTACCTTTTTTTTTCTTGTTTCAGTTTGTAGGAGACACCATATGCAGAAGATGTGACAGACAGAGATACTTGTAAGTCTATAGCCCTACACAGCTTATTCGTGTAATAATGCTCACTATTCAGCAAAGTTGGTGCCACAGTTGATATTGTTGCTGTTTTTGTTGTTGTTGTTTTTTTTTAGGATGTCATTACAGCAATTTTCAAAGTGTTTGATTTTGTGATTCCGAAAAGGACAAAAGTAGTCTGTTAGCACCAGTCAGGTCAAGTAGCAACGTTATGGGTAGATTTTTATAGAGGAACTCTGGTAGCAGTATATTGTACTGAAGAAGTCCTTTTTTTTCTCCTGGCACTAACAGAGAAAGAAACAGTGTTGTTACCAATGCAATAGAAAATTTGGATCAACGTTTTGGTCGATCTGGTGACTCAGTGACGAACAGAAGCTATGGCAGCTCTTTGCTTGAATTGGAACAACGCGTGGAAGAAGCGTGCGCTTTGGTGGAAAGAGTGTTGAGGGAGAGAGAAAGTGCAGAGTTTGGCCGGGAAATTGAAAGAAAAGAGCATGAAATACGAACAGAAAGAGCACGGAAGAAGAGAGGAAGGGAGGCAAGACAGCTCCCCGGAGTTAGCATGTGGCCTCAGCAGCCATTTCATGCACTTCTGTGTAACTTTAGCGAGCAGTGTGAGGAGGTAAGTTAACTGAGGGCCCTGTTATTATTCATCACCTGAGAAGGAGGGGTTGAAGGATAAGGGGGGGGGGGCGCGATTACCTTGTTTTCAGGATCAGACGGTGGGACTCTGGGATATTGACTGCCAATGAAGGGTGGAGGGGGGGGAATCATTAGAATTCTAGAAAGACTTGGGTGGAGGGGAATCAAGTACATTTTATTTCTACAAATCCAAAATTCTCCGTCCTTCCCCCCCACTATCACCCTTACGATTTGTAAGGACAGGTCCCTGAGCACCACGATGAGGGTAATAGAAAATCTTTTGCTCAAAAATTAATCTACATCTCTTGATAGCCGCCTTGTAATATTTTCCGCACGAGTGGCTAAAAAACGAGCATTCCATATGAAAAAGATATGCCATTCAATGTTAGAATTGACCGAGCTATCATTCGCTTATCAAAAGTTTATCGATGTTAATAGGCATGTTTTTTTTCATTTTAGAATCTAAGAGGCGAAGGTTCTGGAAGACAGAGGTAAGTACAAGCAGACTGAATTCTGTAATATGCGCGCTTTTTTGACTCCTTTGGATAAATAGGTCTTCCCAGTCTGGCTCATGCTAAACATTAATTAATCAGTTTGTTCATTAATTAAACTGTTAGGAAATGAAGGATTCTTTTAATACGGAATAAGGCTAACTACAGCTCCTTCTTTGTTTAGAATTGTAATGGATCACCCTCTGAATCACGACATCTCCAAATGTGATGTTTGTCTGAACAAACGGCTTCAAGGAAAACCCAAATGCATTCCACAGTCGGGACAAGATGAATGTTGCATCTGTTTGGAGGTAATGGCTGAGATCAAAGGCCCTGATTTTAGCAACTGCAGCAAAACTAGATTGATAAACGCATATAAGGGTCACTTGATTGGCGTCTTGGAGGCTGGATGGCTGATCACTGAGTAAAGCAAAATAACTTCGTAAAACGTTGTGGTATGGTTTAGATATAAGTGTAGCAACCGAATCAAATGGCAGGGCTGTGAAATTACTACTAACACACTTGAAGTATTTCGAGCACAGGTGGATCGATTAAACAGTTCCTTGTCTGAATGACGGCGGCTATCATATCATCATATTTCCTTTCTTAGAGGGACTTAGAATTGATACAATTCAAATGTTAACACTCTTTGATAGACGCAAATTTTCCTTTTCATCCCTTTTTGAGATCCTCCAATCGATCAGTCAATCAAAGAACTAATTGCTCCGTCGCCTCTGATAGTGACATCCGCTCCGTTTATCTCAGCACGCCAGTTTCTGTTACCAACAACAGTCCTTTTCAAGACTGCATCAACATACTGAGTACGTGTGAATCAATTGAATGATAAATGAAATCGTTTTTCCCCTTAACTGCAGGACGCCCTCAGTGGTTATCAGATCCTGCCATGCTCACACAGGGTTCACAGAGAGTGTGCTATTGCAATGATACAGAATGGCGTGTAAGTACACCCAAAAAGTCCGCACATCTATACTGATAAGTGTTACTACCGGAATAAGATGATTGTTAATCAGTGCACTTTTATTTTTGTCCAGCCACTTTGTTAGATTTCGTGTCCAAAATCACCTCAATGGTACAAAAACTATTATACATAAAAAAGGTATGAGTAATAGGTAGGTCTAAACTTCTCCTTCTTAAAATTTATTCAGGATTCAGCTTATTCTACTCATTTTTATTTCAGCCGCTGCTGCCCCATTTGCCGTCATCAACATCTTGGTCTGACGTAATGCACCAGGCACACAGAATGGATATTGTTTTGAAATGACAATCGATTATCTCATTTATGGTTTCAAAACTTAAAAGTTTTGAAACTTTTTAAAAGCTTAAGTAGAGTGTCTCAATGGGAATAACCATTTGTCGCAAAAGGGCCAAAGCATTTAGCTATTCGGTGTAAACATTTTGAAATGTGTCAAAATCTTAGACTGTTTAGTGTCTTATCTGCTAACGCAGTAACGAAGTTACACAATCTATTCTAGTATCAGTAACAGAGATAGTTGGCTCCCGTCTCGCTGAGTTGCATTCTGCGAACCGGAAGTGTCAGCTTTTTGCACGTGGAATGAGTTGACAGACAGCTGACAAGTTGGTGAAGAGGAGCAAATGGAAAGATTTAGGGTGACAACTAAAGTCAGAGAACACTGCTCTACTTTCGCAGTTAAAAAAAAAATCTTATAGATTCTCTTATAGAAGTTCGGAATATGGGGTCATTTGTTTATGTAATCGTATGGGCCCTCGGGCAAATAAGGATTGACGTCACTTGTATTTTCAAAGTTTTCCCCAAAATTGCCCGAGTCACGAAGCGACGTGGGAAATTTTGGGAAAAATATAAGTGAAATTAATTGAAAATACAAGTAAAATTAATCCTTAATTGCCCGAGGGCACTTGAGTATCACATGAAGGGCAAATTTTTTGAGGGAACTGTATTCGCGCTCGATGTCCGCGCGATGAAGCCCTTTTTATGCCGCCGCAAATGTCAAAACAAATGTAACTGACCAATAGATTCAATGAACATTTTATTTTTAAAATGCAGTGAACAACGTTACACGGCTTCATCTAGTTATATTGCAATCAATAAGTCGTTGCCGCAAACAGCAAAAGGTTAAATCAGCATCAAGCAATCATGTCCTCTTGATCACCAAAATTAAAGTGCCCTCGTGATTAAGAAAAAATGCCCTCTGTCTCAGTCAATTAGCATTCAGTCATTCTGCCCCGCATGTGATAAAACCTGAAACATTATACCGCCTTGTGAAAATCATGGATTTAACAAATGGTAATGTTATAACTTATGTAGAATGTTTGAAGTGTACTTTGCAATTCTTGTAATACCATCACTATGTTCTTTGATGTATATTTTTTTATCCCGGAGGAAGTAAACAACCGATCGGAAATGGGTTTTAGAACAGTGTAGATAAAATATTAACTTTTTAAAGTCATTTAAATCAATGTTTAACATACCTGTTAACTGTGACGGAAATAAATTATCCGCATGCCATAAAATGGCCAATATTTTGACCGTTAGCCGCAAAAGCTTTCACCTCATTGACGCCCTTTGAATCAGTCTCGTACTCAGACCTTTCACGGCCGAGCGGTATGATCTTGATAGGAAAGATGGTACGTTTCTTAACTTATTTGGTGGAGAAATAAAGAACGGGATTTTTTGTCTAGACACGAACGATTTTGAACGCGGTAGAATTACAGATGTTTTCCTTTTGTTTTTTATAGGCTATCGGTTAACCCCATTGAGCTTGAGACCTTCTCATACGTGAATACATACGCGCTTACACATATACTTTGATTTCCGTATTTTTGAGGCATTGCATTGAGACATTGCATCAATCTATAAGGGCAAACTAATTACATTAAGACCCTAAAGATGAATTTAAATCATGCTGATAAACCAAAGTCAAAATAAGAAAATTGCAGGTTATCTTGACGCTTTTTAATAATTATAATGCATTTAGTAAACAAGACGGCTCATAAAACACGTGCAGAATTGCAAGAAGAACGAGAATGATCTACAGAGTTCCATTTGTTCTCAGTCCTAAAAGGAAAACTCCTACTATACTACCAGTTTTGAACAGGGGAATGTCCAACTTTTGAATAGTGATGCTCTTGCGACAGACCTCTGCAGTTTTTGGATGAGCGTTTCATGTCTGACATTTACGAACATTCTAAGGGACTGATGTCACGTCAGCTATTTGCCATTCCGAATGAAAGATCCACGTTAGCAGGCGAGGCAAGTCCATCTTTGATGACTGGGGTGGGAATCTTGTCATAATTGCATGTTTTTCATTTGATTGATACGTGAGACAAGTCGAATAAATTAGAATTTTTGGTTTTACTCCCGTGACAGAAACTTGGTAACGATTGCTATACCCCATATTTGTGTCCTTCAAGTGTAATTAGATCTTACACGCTTGTTCGTGACGTCCATATTAATCTGGAAAAACACTACTGACTTCCCGTCACAACCTTACATGCGAAGCGGTATTATCATCCCGGCGAAAAACATCCCAACGGACCATGGCAGATACCCCATATTTGTGTCCTTCAAGTGTAATTAGATCTTACACGCTTGTTCGTGACGTCCATATTAATCTGGAAAAACACTACTGACTTCCCGTCACAACCTTACATGCGAAGCGGTATTATCATCCCGGCGAAAAACATCCCAACGGACCATGGCAGATACCCCATATTTGTGTCCTTCAAGTGTAATTAGATCTTACACGCTTGTTCGTGACGTCCATATTAATCTGGAAAAACACCACTGACTTCCCGTCACAACCTTACATGCGAAGCGGTATTATCATCCCGGCGAAAAACATCCCAACGGACCATGGCAGATCAGAAAGAGGTGTGTTGTTAGCTAGACTGTGCCAACTTTAACTCGTTTTCTTTTCGTATTCTTTCTATTGTTATTTTAAGAATCGATTTCAGCACAGTGTTTCGGGAATTGGGGGTTTTCAAAGCGCTGTTTACTCGCCTTGATATCACACCTCAATTAGTCGCGCACTGCATCTGCTCAATCACGTAAATCAGCGTAAGTGTAGATGGACTGAGTATTGATGATGAGGGAGTAACATTCATGAGGCGTGATGTTGAGAGACATCCGTTATATAGCACCTTTCCGAGCGAAGTTTTCTTCTCCGTTTAATTAATAATCAGTTCGATTCGAATGTCGTGAGTTGTAACCATATCACTCGACAGCAGGTTCAGAGAGCAAGGTGCAATGAAATTATGAAGCGAAGAAAGAGGCAAGCTTTCCTGTAATCTTCGCCTTATGTATGTCGAGTCTTTTTTTTAAAAGGCAACTGAAACTGAAACCTTCTCTTCGAGGGGAAATCCCTTGGATTGAGCTGAAACTCACTCAAGCAACGAGGGCAGGCTTGCTAATGTGGTAGCATGAGTTATAAGGACATGAGGCGTGATGTTAAGAGACATCCGTGATATAGCACCTTTCCGAGCGAAGTTTTCTTCTCCGTTTAATTAATAATCAGTTCGATTCGAATGTTGTGAGTCGTAACCATATCACTCGACAGCAGGTTCAGAAAGCAAGGTGCAATGAAATTATGAAGCGAAGAAAGAGGCAAGCTTTCCTGTAATCTTCGCCTTACGTATGTCGAGTCTTGTTTTTAAAAGGCATCGGTCGTCTAAAACTATTGAAATGTACTATAACGCTTACTGAAACTGAAACCTTCTCTTCGAGGGGAAATCCCTTGGATTGAGTTGAAACTCACTCAAGCAACGAGGGCAGGCTTGCTAATGTGGTAGTATGAGTCATAAGTACAAAATGCAGACTGCAGACTGGGTACAAAATTAACAAAGAGTACGCGAGAACAAAAACAATTTTTAAGCCCAAATCGATCTGAAAGCGTCAGTAATAATTTTATGGCTTTTATGACGTCGTATTTGTTTAATCGGGGTCATCGGCGAAAACCGATGGTATTTTTCATGACTTATTTCTTAGAATAGCGCACTTTGTAAACGAAGTGTTAGGTTAAACTCGTGGCTTAAACATTGCATCAAGCCTTAATTGGTATTTGTGTAGCTCTTACTACGAGTGCAAGATCGTAGTATAAATCAAAACTCGATTTAAATCGATAGCTGGGCAGCCTCTTTTAGTTCGACACTTACTTTTGTCACATAATCCTTCTTGCATCAAACATCGGTTTGACTCAGGTTAAACAGGTTTAACTTGTACTTATACGAAATGTTTTTACTACGAGGACACGATGAAGTAGTTTCCTTAAGACTCGATTTAATATGATAGCTAAACAGGTTTGACTTTTGGCAAGTAAACATTTCTAACTCCTTGGGAATTCATGTTATTAAATGGAATCGTTACAAAGTGCGAGTTGACAAGGCATGAGAGACATGGAAGCCATCGCAAAGTTTTTATGGGAAATTTTTCTGATGGAAATATATGGAAAACACTATAGTTTAGTATTGTTTCGCTGCTGGAAAATGCTCTAATAAAAGCCGTCATACGATGTTCCATCGCGGCTGCCAATATATTGGAAGCGCCAGAGCCTGGGTCGAACGAACAAACTACGACTTTCGGTCCCCTCTTTAGATTTATTTTCTCTTCCGCTTAGATTCTGTGAATTACTCGACGTGTTCTTGGCTGTTGTAATTTCTGTAAAATCGATCCTTTCATAATCTTTGTTGTGGGAATCGATTGTTTTTATTATTATCTCTGGAAATCGGCCGTACAGGATTTTTCAGCATCTTGCAGCGCGCATTGGTGATGCCTATTCGTTCATATAATCAATCTCGTAATCTGTATAACGTGACAAGAATCGCCGTAACCCACGACCAGTAAGCAGAATATGATAAAATAGCGGACGTATTAAGGACGTGTTGTTGCTATGTTAATCGTTCGTTGCAATCAGCTTTTTTGAATTAAAGATAGTTTTAATAGATTTCATCGCCATCTTTTAGCGTAAGAACCAAATACGTGGAACACCTGAATAATTTATGCTGTTTACGCTGCATGACCCTACGCACCAACTTCTCACCCAGGCCACCCCATTTTTTTCCCTTAACTTCTAGCGACGTTCGACTGACCAAAAATTTTGTGTTTTCATCAAACAAAGGACCAAACAAATAACACAGAAAAATAAAATAAATAAAAACAAAAGCAACAAAAACAGACACCATTCAAAAGCGGGCATTGAGTGCAACTCGGTCAAACTGGTTTTAATTTTTTATATGAAAAACAGGTGTTACTAATGTTTTTATGGGCTAAAACGGATTCAGTAATTGTATTTCTCGATTCACTGAGTTCATGTCATATTCAAAGAGTACTAAATTAAGTTTTCCTTAATCGTGTGTCTTTCCACTTCACGTGAAGGCTTTCAAACAAGTCGCCTAAATACCCCTGCAATATACTTTTTCTTTTTCTCTTGGTACAATTCATTGGCGCGAGTTATATGCAAATATCTGTAGACGAACTCGAAGTAGGCATACGAATTCGTATCCACGTGGTTATTCAAGAATTTTGTGGAAATCATCTGGAGGATGAGAGAAGACAGAGGTTAACAGATTTGAACTGCAAAATAGCCAACACCTGCTCGCTAGATAGGGCTGAAGAGCAAAGGGGGTTTCTGAAATGAAATGTTTAAGGCAAGTTTTTTCCCCACGACAAGCCTGCGCTTTTCAAATGAAGTGCTTCTAATAACTCTTCTGCAAGATGACGCTAATGACCCCACGTTTTGTTTACATGAAAGATTTCATGAATCTTTGCCACTTGTTGTTGTTTGTTGTGGATCCTATTTTAATTTAAGTGTTTTCAGAGCACTGTCACTTTAAAATCACCATCTTTAGAAATGTTTCTGTTCTGTACTGACACACAAATAGGAAAACTCTTCGTGACTCGACTATGTGATCCAGAAATGCTTTTCGAGCGTGAACAGAAATTAGTAAAGTTCAGTGATTCATTCTTATTTTTATAGGAAGAAACCAGAGATTCTAAAGTTCAGAGAACACAACGGAAAAGTTCAAACGAACATTCTGGTGCAAGGCCATCATTTGAAACAGGGAAGGAGACAGAGCGTTTACTGAATAAGCGCCGGAATATGGCTAGTGGGCTCTGTCAATACGGTGTCAATAAAGGTATAGTTCCTTTACTTGATCTAAGTGAAAGAAAAATGAAGCCATAACGAATTTGGAAAGTGCATCATTCTCAGCTTAAGAACTTGACAACGGTCAGTCTCTCCTTTTCGGCGAAGTCCGTCATGCGAATCAAGAACGAACGATCAGCGAAAATGAAAAAAGCTATTAATCTGTTAGTTAGTGTCTAAAGACCCTTTCTGCAGTTTTGCCTCTAAATGTATTTTTTTATCTTCAGATGAGGACGCACAGAAAGGATGTGCCGGACTTAACGTATTTGTCATGCACTGTGGAATCGAAGACACCAAGTTCCAAGGAGAAGTAAAGGAAAAAAAGGAGGAAGATGCCTCGCTCAAAGAATCGAAGGAAATCGAGGAGGAAAATTCCGTACTCAAAGATAGCTATAAAGAGGAAATTATCGAGCTTAGAAGAACTTTAGATAGCTATCAGAAGAAAATTACCGAACTGCAAGAGATTGTGATAGACAGTAAGAACGAAAACACTGAACTGAGAGAGGAGTTGGCGAGTTGTAAGAAAAAATTAGAGAGGAGACACACTCTGGTAGATGTGTTGAAACCTGAGCCTCCAAGAGATGGAACTCCCAGGAAGTCGAACCCAGCGCGCCATCAGAGACTGCACTTTCATTCCGACAAGGCTGTTTCGTAATTAACTCACTCTTCAGGGGATTTTATGGGGATTTTAGGCCAAGAATATTCGAAGCTATATATCATATACTATAAATTTGCATAATAGATGTTGTGGTAAATTTAGATGGTTTGTTCAGCTGTTACGCAGCAACGCATTTTTTCTGTGGTGGCATCAATTATCAGTCTTGGAGTCAAGAAATATCATGCATTTCCGACTCTTAAGAAACCAGTGGTTGATATGTCCCACGCTGTACAGTGTATTTCAGAATTTGTAAAATAAAGTTACAAAAACTTAGAAACGCGTTTTAACATTTCCTTCAGCACTCACTCTATTGACGATCTCGTCTGAATTTTGATCCATTGTACCTGTATAGCTATAGTCGATTCTTAGCAAAATTTTGTTGGCAAACACTGTATGGAAATCCACTTTCTTAGTTTCTCTTGCTGACGCATTTCCAAGCATCTGATCAATACCGACTGATATCAGCGAAATCATTCCACCGAGGAAATCTCTTTTCAATACTTCATTAACAGCAGCCTGTACATCCGGGCTCGGGGCGCTTGAGACCTTGGTCTTGTACTTCTCTACCTTGTCGACAACTGCAGCAATAGGCACACTCTTCTCCGAAATGGTATCATTGTCCATGTGGCAGAAATTTTTGTTGACTATCATTTTGTGCATCGTTTGCAATGTCTTGGCAATCTCTGCGTCATTATCACCTTGCCGCTTCTTGATCTCCTTTGAGATACTTGTGCCTATGCTTTTAAAAGAACGTTGTATCATTGCAGCCAAAACTGACTGTAAGTCTTGTCTGCAAAGTACAAGGGTATATGCGTAAAGCTCGTGACTTCTAAAACTCATGTGAAGCATTATTTAAAGTTTTTGTGATTTTAATTCTATTGGCGAACCTATGAAAATATCATTAGCCGCAGACACATGCATCAAATATGGTCGCCAGCCACTGAAAAACCAATTACCCTTATTGCCGTTCCTCCTGCTTGAGAAAAAGGACTGAAAAGGGGAAATGGTTTACTACTTTAGTTTTTTTTTAACCAAAAGGCTGAATTGTTTTTGGATGAAGTATATAGACGATATTTTAATGATTCTTATTGCCTACTGAACCCAGTTAGTCAGTTATACTCTTGGAAAATTGAGCTATTATTGTCATATTGTAATGTGGACTGATTATTATTAAAATTTTATCACACAATATAAAAAAATTTTTGAGTATATTGATGTGTCTTCCATCTATAAGATGTTTAAGTATATTTTTGTATTTTATTGCAAACTTCATTAACAGAAATGTAACAACACAATTATTTCATTTAACGGACATGAACGTAATCAATAGAAACAAGAACAATGAATAGACGAAAGACCATCATATGTTTAGCATGGCTCACTTTTAAAAATATATGCTATCGGCAGTATTCATGATAAGTAGCGTAACGTTACCAAGACTGCAAAGGGACTATAAAACCGAAAGTATCCAATGTTGATAGAATGAAAAGAGTATCAGAAGGTATGCCTTACTCATTTCGGTTCTGGACAGGTCTCAGGAGTACAAAGTCAAAATGTCGAGCGCACCACGTGCTTACGTAACCGGAGCTATTGGTAAGCTGCTCAGTGGAAAGTTCCTTGCTGGGTTGGCAAGTCTCATCCAGGTGGTCCTGGACCAATTCTTGGGAAATGCAGCAGGACAAGAGTCTGAGAAGATTGATTTTCACATTATCTGTGCTAATAACAGCCTCCTCCGAACCGACTAGATGTTATACAAGTAGGAGTTTGCGTCTACTGGGCTCAAAAGTAACTAACAGAACGCCTTCTGTTACCACATGCAAGTTGGTATCCTGAGACTTCGAGAAAGTGAACCCACAGATCCTGTTGTACGCACTTACGAGGGCCATAGGCGTAGCTAATCTTTCCAGAACTGCTGAACATCTTCAAAGGCTGACTAAGTTTGCGAAGGAGCTCTACAGCACAATTCATCAGTTGAAGAATGCTGCTTGGGGAGACGGAGATGGATCAGGAGAAAGCAGCGGTAGGACTTCTAGAAAACCCAAACCTTCAAAACCAGGCGGAGAAGGAAACGAAGGAGGTAAGGAAGGTGGAGAACGAGAGGAAAAAGGAGGAGGGGAAGGCTTTTAATTTAAAGGAAAGAACAAAAACGGAAGTTGCAAGCCTCCTAGTTTTCTCCATGTTTCCGGCCTTGGTAGAAATTACCCGAGGAGCTCAGTGATGATCAGGGTAAAGAAGAGTTCAGAAGAACAGAGGAATATGGATCTATCGTCATGGAACAAACAGAATCAGAAATCGAATCACCCTAATGGAAGAGAAAAACTTTTTAGGGAAGCTGTTGTAGCGTAGTTTGGACATACTTTGGAAGTTCTTTGTGAGTTTATTGTTACGCATAGTATTAATTATCAACAGAATTGGAACTATGGAAACAGCATTTACCTGAGAACAAGTTCGACTCCTAAAGCAACATCACACTTTTATGCTTTATATCAAGCCAAGAGATTATAATAATCTCTTGTTGAAACATTGAACTCTGTCTTGCGTGGCTTGTCCGAGTGTCCAGGCAAATAACTAGTATACCGCGATAGTGATAGTTCCTTACTTCATTTAAGCTTAAATAAAGTTGTAACAGATATGGTAAAAAGAAACGGCAACCATTGTGAAGGTTAATCAAGAGCGAGGCTGTCCTCCTGATCGATTTTGTTATCACCCATGCAGAAATTAAAACGTATCTCCGATTTCATCTACCCCCATTCTTATAAGAATCTTAATTACTTTCGTCAAAGACTTCTTAATTGTTACTCATCCAACTATAATCAAACAATCAAGCACCGGAAGCCACAAAAACAGGGGACGTCTGGTTTTCGCTGCACCCCGGAAATTTGCTCTGAAACGCAAATCCATTGTGCACTAAATGCAGCGGAATTTCAACGCATCGCCTAAAATCGAAAAAGTACTCAGACCTGCCTAACTTGGCCTCGGATTTGAAGGAAACAAAATCGAAACCTGGGGCGCTCTAAAATGAAAACCTTGGGACTGTGTTTAACATGACCATGAAAGCAAACAAATTGCTAGGAGTGTTTCTAAGCTGACGTTTCGAGCGTTAGTCCTTCGTCTTGACGCTCGATACGTCAGCTTAGAAACTGTTAACAGTGGCCAATTTACATCATTTACTCAGTTGATCAAACCAAATTATCTTGTTATAGTCTTCCACCGACGCAGCACCACGGTTTCTTCGGAAACTTGCCCCTTTTATTCAAATTGCTAAGAAATTTGATTCGTGTTGATTGCAGTAGATTTAGCATGAAACGCAGGCATTTTATGGAGGTATTATCACGAAAGCCTCCATTATGTTGAAAATACTTCAGTTGTACTCATGTTGAAAGATCGGTTGTAAACTACGCGTTCTTAAATCCTATTTTTAAGGACTCGTGTTAAAAAGCGCAATATTAATGAAGTTCCGGTGACATAAGTGACGTATATCCGACTACACCCCGAAATGTTTTTGTGAGCCAGTGCTCTAAGATCGGGCAAATTGATAAAACCGGAAACCTTTTCTCGCTCACGAGACAAAAATCTAAAGCCTTATTTAAAATTAAGAAGTTTAAAAGGGTGACTAAATAAAGGAGTGTCGCTTTTGCATAGTGATCTTATATTTTTCGCGACTTCCGGTCGTGGGCGTAAAGTAAATATAAGGGTCTGGATCGACGTTAGTCCGCTGTACACAGGAAATCTGCACTTGTCTTTCGAGGAAAATCAACAATTTTATTTCAGATTCTACGTATCGCTGTGAAACCACAGATTTCTTCGGAGGGTATGTTTTGTTAGACAGCTTAATTTAATCAGAGAATTCAATGGAAACTGGTTGCCGTGTTGTCCGAGGACCTGACTGGAAGTGGGGAAATCAAGATGGTAGCGAAGGACATGTTGGCACTGTAGTTGTTGTTGGCAAAACCGGCAGTGTATCTTCCCCGGATAAAACTGTTGTCGTTCAGTGGGATGGTGGAACGAGGACGAATTACAGATGTGGTTATCAAGGAGCATTCGATCTCTGTTTGTTTGACAATGGTCCAGTCGGTATGTATATTCTTTTGAAGTTGTATAATAAGTTGTACACTCACACCCGGGCGAATTTGGTGTTTATTCTGTCATTAATTTGATGTGAACCTTACATCGATCTAAACAAGCGCAATTTGCTCATAAGGTGATACGGCATTTGAAAAATCGCGTTTGGACACGGTGCTTCACACAAGCTATGTATTATAAGTGCTGTTACGACTAAAATACACGAACGAAAGCGAAAAACTGGTGAATTCGGCTGCTCACGTAAACAGCGATACGTAATTATTCATGCTTCTACGAATGTTTTTCATTGTTATTTTCCTTTGTGAGAGGATAATTACGCAGAAATGCAATTTGAGATTACTATTTGGAGACGCTTTTGCTTTCCGTGAATTTTGGGCGGCATTCGTGGAAAATTTCGTAGAAGCTTGTACTTCTGAGAATCAAGTCAACGTCATGCATGCATGATTCCACTTGGAAATAGAACTGGAATTTATTAGGTTGATTTTTTTTTTACCAGGTGAGAAAGCTAAGGATTTCTTGTAGGAAATCAATAAAATTTTGCACCATCACTTTCCATTTTAATGTATTTAAGTTATATGATAAGCTAAACATGAACTGGAATGAACTAATTTTTTTTAATCAAATGAGAAAGAGGAATTTTGTAAATCATCACTTAAATTTTGCATCATAAGTTTTCTCTGCAAGTTGTTAACTTTTATATGAGGAGCTAGATTATAGATGTGTTTTGATTGGTATTTACTTATGATCTATCTGAGGAGAAACACATGGATGACATCACCATTAATAAAATTTTTTCTAATATCATATAAATTAGATAGATGCCATGTTTCCTTGGATCTTAGAAGACATCAATATGTGGAAAGAAATTTAGTGGCAATTTTTTTGGTTCTGACCAGATCTTCAGCTCATCTGTGATCTATTACTGAACAGATTCTATCTGTAAAATGTTATAGGTGATCCACAACTGAAAAACTGTACATCTGAGACAGAGTTACCCTGTAAATCTCCTTTCATGTTTGGTCCATAGGAAAGCAACCACATAGTCTCTACTACAGGGGTCTTTAAGCCAGGGTTGTTTTTCCAATCTTTCGTTAAAGTGATGTAACAAAATAAGGTTATTGATGACTTGCATTTGTTATTCCAAC